GCTGTCAGAATCATAGCGCTACACCCCCAGAATAAATAGCAATTATGCAAAAAAGCAAGCGAACTTTGCTGGTTTTTTTCTCAGAATATTTTCTTTTTTCCTTAACATTATGAATTATTGAAACGTGTGCAAGAGGTAGATCGACTATTTTGGCCACCATGATCCGTACTTATAGAGTGTATTATTAATTTAGGGTGGCTTGAAAACTTGCCTTTATACAAATCAGGCCTGCATTACTCTTTTTCTCTTAGTTCAAATGTGCAGGAAACATTTTTTGGAAATTATACAACAGCAGGTGGATATTTTACGCAAAATTAGCTGGAATGCTAAGAATGTATGTTTGTAAGCTGTTTGCATGGGTTTTGGCTATAACCGCAGGATGAAGGCATATGATTATGTGCCATTGTTTGTAGCTATCCAAAATGGCGTTGAAAAGTGTTAATTGGCTTGCCACTCAATTCTTTTAGTTGTCCAGCTTCTGTATCCATCTCCTTCGAAGGAAAAACCTGTCGTATTTAACAGGCACATACTTAAGTTTACTTAAAGCGCTTGCATAATTAAGGCTTGTAAACAACCAGTTTGGTAATATTTTCAGCACTTTTCGCTATTCATTTTGCCTCCATTTAGCGCGGAAAAATAAAATAGCTAATGTTACTTTTGATAAGCTCATATGTTAGTTACTGCACTTATTAATTTTAAAGTAGTTAATTCGAACTGGCCCCTGAATAACCTTTTACTCTCCTACTTTGGCCGAAGCAAGGTTTGTCTGGTCTATTTCGAGCTCGACTCAAGGTCTAAGTTAAATTAAAATAATAGCTAGTCTCATACCTTCCAACACTGCAATAGGACAAAAATGCTAGTTATTAAAACCTTGGTGGAAACGTCAGGATTTGCCTGGGCTCTTAGCTAGTTGAACTAAATGTTACTATATTCATATTTCTTCCTTTTTTTAAGGGACAACTTTGATGCGCGTTTTACTCGATGTACATAAACATGTACGATGCGGTCCGGAGTCTAGGGTTATTCCAAGAATTCTCGACGTTCGAGCGTCATGGAATTTCCCGATAGCAAAAAAGCGTCTTGTAGGAGCTGGTCTTTATCCGGAGGCTGTCGACTCGGCTACGGCTGGATTCATAACGGAAATTATTCGTCTTGCAGGCAGGGATGCAGATCGTCTTTGCAATAAGGATCCTATGACGTTTCATCATTTGGAGTATATGGCACATTTGTTCCCGAAGGCACAATTTATAATGATGGTCAGAGATCCTCGGGCTGTCGTTGCTTCTATAATAAAGTATGTTGTCTTTTCTCTCAAACTATTTCCATCTTTAATGTTAACGTGTGCTTTGGAAACTGGTTACTAAATTGAACTGGAATTTTTATGGCAACTAACTGCAAATATGAAAAGTGTGATAAAACGCTTAATATATCATTTCTCACCGTATTTGGGTATTCAATTCTAATGTGCTTCTCTTATTCATCCGGAAAACTTTGACATTTTTTACCTAGCATAATTTCGATCGTAAGTTTATGTAACCTGGTAGATGTGTAATTTTGCTCCACATGTTTGAGATAAATCAAATGTGCGTTCTCTCAACTATCCCTGTCTTATCATTTTCTCTGTTTAGACAGGTAAGACTGTTTATGTTGTCTTCCTAACTTCTCTAAATGCATTTTCTCTGATCAGACTCCACTATCTCTTTACTTATCTTACCATTGGTATATACACTCTTTCCACATGTATCTATCTGCCCAGCATCAATACAAGTTTTTATCCCATATGCGAATCGTATTCCCACTCTTTTTGAAAATAACTTGCCTATGGATGCTTCGGATAAAGTCGGACACTTTTGGAAGATAGCAAATCAAGACAGAGGTGTAACTATGTGAGTGCAGGCCATACGACGTAGAAGTGAGGGATGAGGATACAGCGCTGGAAACTTCGACAGTGAGGAGGGGAGAGACCACATTAGTTGAACAGAAAATTGGCCTTTAATCGCCACTTCAATAGATTTTGATCCTGTCCTAAGGATGGCGTTTCTCATTGACAATGCCAGCGAAACGTCTGGGAAGTTACAAACAACAGTCTAATGCTGGAAATTATCATGAATACTATGAAAGAGGACGCAGGGCATAGTATGTCCTACTAGGTTTCGTGTCGCTCCTGTCAAGTTGCCAACACTATGCAAATAAAGGCAATTTTATTAAATTGCATTTTCAAACAAACCGATATATATTCCTAAATGATTTTGATATGCCAACAAAGGGTAAAGAGCATATTTCGTTACAGAAATCTTTCTTGTTCAGGATATCCACCACTTTACATAGCTTCCTGTTTCATGTATTTTATCAGTATCTAATTTATCCCTGGGTATTCAAAAATATCTAGTGAGTAGCTTAGAAGAGGGAGGTTCCGAGGAACTAAGAGCTATGAGCCTTATATATAACAATTTAACCATCCTTAATCTCATTAGATAAAGAGTGATAGTTAAATTTTCCCAGTGATACAGTTTCGACCTCGCTTATGTCCCTCCTGCGACCCAACGGGATTATAATCTCTTCTTTCCTATTAGTTTTTCCGATTCCCTCTTCCCTTCCCACACTCGTTACTCTAATTCAGGATTTTGGTCATTTTGTGAAATTATCGTAGCCTCCAAATTCTGTGTTTGGGATCATTTTTTTTATTACCTTGTATTATTCATGCGTTCGATCAGTTTAGATTTTGGACCTATAGACCTTTGCTGGGGAGTTTATTTCTGATAATA